CCTGCACAACTTCAGCGCATTATGTAAGTCCTTCAGATGGCCCCATTTGGGCTCTTTCTGCAAACCTGAATCATGATAAAGCGGTAGAAAGAATGATTTCAGACTGAGTTAGACAAGGAAACCAAAAGGACAAAGAGATCAGGGATCAAGGTTCCTGGAATCTGACCATATTCATCGAGTGGGGCTTCATCATAGTATCTAGTCATCACAAAGGCAGCACCAGTCCTCCCAAAATTGGTTCCTCCATGATACTGAATACAGCTAGATGTTAGAGGATTACATGTTTATTCTTATATTAGACATGATTTCAGAGCAAAACTCCATACCATGTAATAGTTTGTGAGTGTGCCATTCTTTGAGAAGAAGCGTGCCACAGAGTATGCCAGATCCTCTGCTGATCTTTGAGATGGTGGGTCACCAAATACTCTATATCTGAAATAATCAGAAAGGATTTTTTAGCACAATGCAAAACCAAAATCAGATTCCCGTGTGTCAAAATGAAGGAGCTACTTAAAATCTAAGGCACTCAAATCAGATTCATTTCTGCAATGATGCAGACCATTTTAGAGATAATATTTGTTCTAGTAGTTGTTTTTTTCTTCTGAAAATTACATTTTTGTGTGTTCACTGGAGTGACAGGAATTGAACAGAATCGATACCGAATGCAAACTTACTGAGCAGTCCAGTTCTCAGTCCACAAGGCAGGCTTGCTCGGATGGTTAGGCCCTGCAAAAGTATCTCCACAGTTCCTTCCATTGCATGCGTTGATCTACATGTGACACGATGGTAATTGGATCAGACAACTACATGGTCATCCATCTTTACAAGGTATCATTAATCTAAAATTTCACCAAATTGAATCCAATTGAAAGAACATACCACTGGACCAGGAGCATTGTTCTGTTTGCACATCACCCATGGGACTCCGACGTTGAGCCCAACAGCCATGTTACCGGCCCACTGAATGTAATCAGCGCCACCTTGGAATGCACGTGCCACATTGTTGTATTCATTCTCGATCTATTGCATTCAGAGTCATGCAATGATTCAGTCAGTAAACTATCATAATTGAACAGTGAGGTAAATGAGGAAGCAACCACGAAAAGAAGGAAATGCAAATCTTGAGTTAATTGAACCTGTGCTAGAATGATGGGACCTCCTTGAGGGGCAAATAGCTTCTCATCGTTCATCTTTTGCACAATCATCTTTGTAAACCTTTCCATATGGGACTGCATGAACAAATCAACAACTTTACCAAGAGGAGCTTAGCAACATGTCAATGGTTCTTGGCTTATGCATTTATACAGATAGCACACGAATCACGTATGCTTGGTCTGACTCCAGGCGCTGAAAATAATTAGAGAGTGCAATTACCATGTAAGGTTGGTTGTTTGTTCGGAAAGTGATGTTGGCGACCTCCCTGAGCCAATAAGGCAACCCTCTGCAATATATCAGAGAAGACAGCATTAGAATGACACTGATGGTCTTTGTAAGCGATGTAAACAATGCCAAAGCAGCTGCACAAGAAAAGCCCACTGCTACACACCCATGATTCCATTCTGCTTGAATGAAGGGGCCGATCCGAAGGGTCACATACATCCCGTGCGCTTGCACCAACTTGATAAATTTCACCAAGTCATATCTTCCTTCGAAATTGAACTGTTGCAAGCAATCAAATTCTCAGTGCATTGATCTCGGGCATGGGTTGGTCTCCGCAAAGGCAGCGTGCGGGTAGCCTTACCTGGCCATACAAAGGCTCATGGGCGTTCCAGAAGACATATGTTTGGATCGTGTTCAACCCACCTTCCTTAGCCTTCTTGATGATGTCCGGCCACATCTGATCAATTAGAAGAGATACTTCTCATGAGCACCACAATAATCCCAACAGTTTAAACCATTAGGAAAGGACCTAATCTACATTGAATTATAGAATCCCCTCATGTGCAAGTCGGATTATGAGTAAAACTGAAACCAAATTCATGATGTAATCGAATTAAAGAACAGCATTGCACAAATATATATCAAAGATTTTAGGAAAGGATACATTCTGATATCACCCCAAGCGAATGATGAAGGCCAACTAGAGAAAGACATTGTAGTGTGTTAATTAAATATCAGATGGAATCGAGAGGAGCAGATAAAGGCTTCGATCTCATAACCTAATCTGATACCATGATGATGATTTTAATTGGGGTTACCAACATGCTTTAAAATCACTAACAAAAATTTGGAATTGGATGACTAATGATCTCAAGAGCTTAAACAATGTCTTGAAAATGGCCCAATCTCTACCTCAGGCGTGCTTCGAGGGTAATGGACCGACCCCGAGAAGAGCAGCTCTCTCCTCCCATTGATGATCAACGAGCGGCCGTCGTAGGACACCCCTTGTTGGTCGGTGAGTTGGCGGCCCGCGTCGGTGCTGGGCAGGACGAGGAGGAGGAGGAGAAAGAGGCCCGCGAGAGACCGCGTTGCTGCGGTCTCCGGCAGCGCTGCCATGGTTCTTCACCTCGACGGGGCAACGTGGTCTCGCCCTGGTTCGTCGAACGGAAGCAGGAAGGTGATGCTAGGCTAACGGCGGAGGTGGGCCGCGCTCCCTCTTCTTTGCGGAAGAGGGGCGAGAGGAAGAGATCCGGATGCACCCACTCGGATAGGGGAGGAGGGGGCGAGGAGTTTAAAGAGAGGAAAGGGGGGAGGAAGGCGAGGAAGGCTCGGTCTCCGGAGGCCGTGGGGAGGCCACGGAAAGGGCGGAGAGGCGTCCAAAGAATGGCCATTTGCCATTGCTCGGCAGCGTTGGGCTCCGGTCGATGTGGGAGAGGCGGGAATCGTGGTGACGTTGACGCGGCCTCGCTTCCTCGAAGTGCAAATCCCATGCGTCCATTGAAAACGTCTATTCCACCATAAAAATTGATCTAAACCGTTCGTATTTTTCAAATAAAGATAAACATCATTAAACTGATTTTAGGATTGAATGGTTGAGATTAAAACTTGTAGTGAGACGGACGATTTAGATGAAAACTCATACCACTGTAATCCTGATCTCATTCATCTGTCTGTTCTAAATAAAAACTCCATGTCCTAAAATTGATTTCATCAAAATTCATAGCTTTTGTTCAATTTCTTTAATCTTAACTATATTATAGCCTGCCTTTCGTTCTGTATGCTTTAGTTTTAGCTGTTAAGAAATGTTATTTTTGATCATACGTGATACGGTATATTTTGGCAGCATGAACACGTCACAATCGACACAACACATCAAGTCAGAGCCCTACGCCACATGTCCCGTTCCGGGAGCTCGTACCAAGAAGATATGTCACACGTCCCATCTCAAGAATTCATGGCGGTGTCGTCTGACGTTGCTCTGCACGTCCCAGAACAGCAACCAATCAGAAGGGTTGTCCAATCCCTCGGGGGTCGGCGGCGACATCGAATCGATGCATCATCAATCCTCGCGCCATAGAATAAAACCCTTAGCTTCCGGCCAGGGGAGGCAGAAAACAAAAGGGAAAAAGAAAAATAATCCCTCTCGTTACTAACTTGCTCGTCGGAGGAGCCATAGCCGGGGATCACTCGACGGAGGCCATTTTTGTAGGAGGGCGACCACTTGTTGACGGCGAGGGACTAGGCACGGAAGCGCCAGCCGACCGGCAAAGTGGAGTTGTTAACCGGCCCCGATCTCGACCAACGCCAACAACACTCCTTCCCGAGGGCCCGACCACCTCATCATCTAGATCACCCTATAGTAAGCTCTCGACATCGACTCGCGGATCTACTCGTGTTGACTCATCGACCACGACATATTTGTTCGTTAAGAATACAAAAGATGTCAATGATGATTAGATAAGTTCGATTTGACTCGTGCATAAGAAACTTTAAGAAAAGACTTACACAAATATTAATGTCCGATAAGATTCTGGATATGATTCTTATAACTCTTAAATCAGTAATAGAATAAAATAAATTTATTTAAATAAATAATAATCGATCTCAACTAATATAATTTGATGAAAACTCTAAGAAAAGACTTACAAAAAGATTAATGCCGAATAAGATTTTCTGAATCTTATAACTCTTAACTCAGTAATAGAATAAAATAAAAAATATTTAAATAAATAATAACCGATCTCAATTAATATAATCTGATGAAAATTTAATATAAAATATATTTTTTAATATTTTATTTTGATCAGGATCCTGAACATCCATTTCGATCTAACCAAGCTATCACAGAGCCCTAATTGAAATAAACATTTTTCCTATCATGATCTTATAAAGAGATTATAAGAGTTAGGTCTTGATCCAACACATAGCTCACATATTCTTTATTTCTTATGAATTTATCATTAATACCCTAAATTATATAAAATAATAATAAAGCTTGATTTTGAAGCTCATTTTATATTTTAAAATATAAAAGTTAGCTTATCAATTCATAGACAATGATTTCATAAACATCATCGATAGACTATACCAAACTAAAAGTATGCATTCTTCACATGGGTATAAGATGAACTCCATTATGTCTATATTTAGTTCAATTAAGAAAAAAATAATAATGTCATTTGGTACATTATGTAACATAATGTACATTTGTTGAGGGTTAATGCCGGTCTGAACCCAAATAAAGGAAGAGATTCCTTTGATTCCCGGTCTGATATTATACACGGCCATAGAAAATGGTTAACATACAATTTTTATCCTTTCTTTATATTGTGAATTATCACTCTTAATACATTTGATGCAAAGATTAATGATGTCATTAAATTGTGCTTTGTCGTAAACATCGGGAAGGAGTGTTATCGTTTGGCTCTCTGAGCTGTTTCCCACAACAAAAACTGTTTTCGACTAATTTCTACAACACCAGCATACACAGCATAGAGACAGCAAGGGATTCAGAACAAGGCCTAAGCTGAGCTCAAGACAACGGTGACAGCATCTGCTCAACTCCATCCTACCACCAACAAGGAGATCAATTTAGCCTTCTACCTGAAAAGATTTAGGGTTTACGCATATAGGAAGCCGGCTGAGACGGCAGCCTCCTCCTCCCCCAGCATGCCCCTCCTTCTCTGCTTCTGGATCATGGTCCTTGCTCCCGCAAACCCAACCCCAGCTTCCGAAGCTTGAAAGACACCCCCAAACCCCTCACCCCCGCCGCTGCCAATCTCAACCTTCTTCTTTTTCGACACCGGTAAGGCTCTCCCGTTCTTCCTGTACCGGATTCCGCACGCGTTGCAGAGCGACTGGCATCACACGTCATAGATCGACAGATCAGCCTTGCCTCGTTCCAAGAACAACAAAAGGTCGAAGCGGGGGTAGCAGCAGTAGTGGTACCTTGGGGCCAGAAGGGCCGGCTCTCCAAAGAGGGGTTTTGGTCGTCCGGCAATCCGCACAGCACTTCAGCTGGCAGTCGCTGCTGCTTGCATCCATGGAGGGCTGCAGATCGAACGGAAGCAAGAAGCACAAATCCGACACGAGCCGTGTCGATCGGGAACAAGAAACAAGGAGCAAGAGAGGGGGCTCACCATCTCGTGAGTTGGATCATCCATCCTACCCTGTGATCCGTTGAATCATCAGGCCATGATTCGTCTGTCGATCGCCAATAGAACTAGCAGCTGAACCCTCTCCGATGAAGAATGGAAGCCCCTTGGAGACTTCTCTCTTAAGGGAGATCATCTCCCAGGGCGGAGTGGAGGGAAACAGAGTCCATCACCGGGTGCCATGAGAAGGCTTGCGGCACAAGCTATCGCCGGGGGCGATCGACCGACGGCCGGAGCAACGCCACCTGGTGTGGGGGAAGCCGTCGAATCAACGAGAGCGGGCACGTGTCGTAATAGGGCCGACGGTACCCGTACCCTGTTAACCTGCTCGCTGTCGCGAGGAGCGAGCTGGTGGTCACCGCCGGCCACGCCTCCCTTTGCGGCGGAGGAATCAGGAAACGACACAACTGCCCTCGAAGAAACGCGGAGCATCAAAAGGACGCCACCTGAAGCGTCCTTTCAGGTCAATCCAACCTTAACAGTATTCCGCCTGTCTCCTCTGTGGACTATGCAGTATAGGAAAGGGAAGAACATTGCTGTTGCTCTCTAACTAGAGCTCGTGTAACAGACTGTGGTTATCAGACATCAAAGTACGAGCATAGGCTCCAAAAAAATATCATACGATAACACTTTTTTTAAAGTAAAACTATGCATTAAATCATAGGGTTTGCATACAAAATACTAGAAGGTGGGCACCTCTCTACCCTTGCTTAGACTTGTCTAATAATAGGTAAAGGTTCTTCCAAGAGAGGGGAGGCTTTGCATTTGGGCAGTTGCCATGGGTGAATGGGCCAGTACTCGGCGGCAAGTAATCTGGTGGACAGATTAGACGAGTTGTTAAGAAGGGGTAAGAGCTTTTTGGAACAGATGGTGGCCTTCACTAGGTGAATGTTGCTGATTCCGAGGTCCCCTTCAGAGTTAGGACTAGCAATACAGTCCCAGCTAATGAGGGACATCTTATTATGGGTTTGATCAGTATTCATCAGAAATCCATGAATTCATTAGAGTGTGGAGAGGACCGACACTAATGACCAAGTTGATAAGCACTGTTTTCTCGGGATAGCATTCCTTTGTTCCACCCATTAAGTCTACTAATAGCTATCTGAGGAGACTAGTCCGGGAAGGAGGGGCTTTCGCTGGTTGTGAAGGTGGTGCTACGGTGGTGGGACCATTGCCGAAAGAGGTAGGGGCGGTGGCCTGGGGGTCAGTATGGCTCTCCGTCAGAAATGGCAATGTCAACCTAAGAAACCTTAAAGCAGCTCTTAGTCAATTCCACCTACTCAAGCATGGTCATGTCAACGCTTAAAAGGGCATCTGCAATAGTCAACATCAATGTCAGTAAACAGAATAAAAGAAAACATGCAGCAAAGATCATTAGTTTAACATTATAAGCAAATCAACACCTATAGAGACAGTTCTGAGAATGTAGTTGTGGCAACGGGTTAGTAGAGCAAATCAACACCTATAGAACACAATCTAAAAATCCAGCAGCCAATCGATTGCATTAATTCATGCTGACTAACCAAGAACAAACTTCACTGAACTCAAAAAAGAAAAACATGGTCTCACACCATACAGGAAGCAAGAAATGGCATCCTTATAAATAAACTGAAATGAGATATTAGAAAAAAAACCTCTGAAATGCAAAATCATGTCTTCCTCCCTGACATACATAAACTGACAGCAAGAAATCATATAAATCTGCAGAGAACCAAAACATGGCATCTTAAGTAAACTCGACTGTCGGTCCCTCCATGGACGCCTGATTTGACCAACGGGACCCAACTAACAACGTAGCCACTTCGCACAAACTGACTTTTAAGCAAAACCATAGCCCCGAGCCGGGCACAGTCCTTCACTCATTCCTCATAGGAGACCCTACAATTTAAACATAATAGCCTTCTTCAATATGAAAATGTCAATAGTCTTTCAGCAAGTCTCACCTGAAGATTAGCTATCTACCTTTCAGCCAAAGTTGAATCCACCAGAAGGAACTGACTGGTCATTGTTGCCAAAGTCGAATCCTGTTTGAGTAGTATCACCTGGCATTGCATCATCTTCCTCTTCCAACCAATATGTTTCAAGAATCTTAACAGATTTCTCATATATCTCAGTGTTGTCATGGCTCTGAAAATTCTCAATTTTATCTAAGCCCTCGGCGTCCTCAATCAGCTGGGCATATGGATTAGTGCCTCCAGGAACTCCGAGGTTCTTCTCTGCCTCACCGACCTTCAGGATATTCTCAAGCCCTTCCAGACACACGGTAATGATCCTTGGATCAGGGCAGAGAAGGAGGTCACACAGGGGCTTGATGCAGCCCTGGGAAACTAGATACCTAATACAATATAAAAGAAAGAATTGAATTAAGAGGTAACTTTGGAAAACCTTGACGGGTGAAACTCGTGTATCATACTTTATTTGTTCATGTGCACCACCGGAAGTAGCATTTGAAATGGCCCATGCAGCTTCTTTCTTTATCTCGAATTCTGCAGTCTGCAGCAGATGCACTAAAGGACCGATGATGCCAGCAGCAATCACAGCCTGCAATTAATCCCATAGCACATATTCTTACTCTGATAATGGAGGGAAGAACTCAGGGGAAGGTGATTCAAATTAAATGCATAATACAAGAGGTTTTGTTTCAGATTTTATGGCAACCATTTTTTCACATGAAGATCAAGAAATTAGGTTTAGTCCATCGACAATACAATTTATACAACAGGAAAGGCACAACTGAAGTATGTTATCATTCTTTTGTTGTTGCAAGTCAAACCTGAATTTGTTCCTTGTTTCCAGCTGTGATATTTGAGATGGTCCAGCAAGCTTCCTTCTTGATGCTTTTCTTATGATTGTGGGTCAAGAGGTTCAACAGACAAGGAAGTGCTTGGTGATCTATTACATACTGAAGCAGGAAAACATGAATATCATGAGACAAGAATGTAGCAGAGAAGAGAAAGCAATACAATACAGATCGATTGAGAAACAAGGTTATGAAATATAATCAAAATTCATCCCAGAATTGCTAGTCTGTTAAAATTAGTGAACTCTGAATAATAAGAAATGCTAGTTAGAACTTATCATGTTTCTGCCGTGATTCTCTATAAACCATTTGTTTCTGCAATGTGATCATGAATTAATGTTATCTCATGCATTAATAAGTGAACATGATGCAAAAAGTCATAACACTTCAATCACTAAGTTCGCTAGCATGACACGAAAATAAATGATGATTATCATGCATTAAACTCAAGTTTACTTCACCCACACTTCTACTAAATGATTTTTCTAATATTATAATTAAAAAGCAACAAATCTGGCAACACAGAAATTTTCTGACCAATTTTGGATGCTAAGAATATCAGACTGCATTTGTCTGACTGGTAACATGTTCAAATAACTCAACTTTGCAAGCCATCATATGCAGTATACTTGCAGAGATAGAGGCCAGGTAATGAGACAACATACTAATGAATGCCCTTTTTCTTAGTAAATATCTTAGCAATTAGAAAATGTAAGCATTAGAGGATAAAAAGAACACAGAAACCTAAAAAATACAGCAAATATATGTACACCTAATCCTCCTAATTAATACCTGTGTTTGCATATCATCTCCAGTGACAATATTACCAACAGTACGAAGGGCTGGAATAAGCACAGAAGGTGAAGGATGCCTACCACAACAAGCACAACAAGGTTTAAGCCCCAAACAAAAACATAAAATCTTCATAAAGGGCATGAGACACATAATACATACATAAGAAGCTCAACAAGGCGAGCACAAACACCTGCTTCAATCACAGCTTGTATTTTGTCATTGGTACCATCTGACAAATATGAAAGCGCCCAGCATGCATCAGTTAGAACTTCCTCATCATTTGAATGAATAAGCCGCTCGAGTGCTGGAAGAGCAGGCTTAACCTGGTCATAAGTAGGGGAAAAAAAAGTTCAATTCAACTATGAAGCATATTAGTAGACTTCATGATGTGTATGCAACCCAATTCAGACCTGCTCAAATGCTGGTTGTGGCTTGCCCCTGCAGAAATTTGAGAGGGTCCAAGTGGCATTCCTCAACATGGATAGCTTGGAATGCTCATTTAGCTGCAGCAGAAGGGGGATCAATGCGCCACTAGCAAGGACAAGATCTCGACATCTTGGAGAGTCACCAGCAACATTCCCTAAAGCCCACACTGCCTACCATTCAGTAAGATATACCTCGATAAGCCAAGATGACACAGACAAAAAAAAAAAAACAAAAAGAAAATCATGGAGCTGTTCTTACAAACACTAAGCTATCTCAAACAACTACTTTCAAAGTTTTTTGGTATAAGTTATACCTGCTCCCTGACATCATCACTAGGGGAACTGAGAAGCTTCACAAAAATTGGAACGGCCCCATGATCTATCACAACTTTAGTGTGCTCTGAGGTACCTGAGGCAATGTTGGTGAGGGCCCAAGCAGCTTCAAACTGCAAGCATGATCCGTTGCAAAGTGTATGACAAAACTAGAAACGGATTGAAACAGGGTAGTATGGAAGTTAAGAATCCTTGTTTTCATAAATTTAAACAAATGGTATGCTGACCTGAAGTTGCGGATAATCCTCCCTAGTAAGGAATTCCACAAATCGAGGAACCACCCCTGATTGAATAACCTCCTCGATTGGAGGGTTTCTTTCTGACAAAACAAGAAAAGTACTCACAATCAGTATAATTAGTGATCTAGTTGTTCGGATAGAGCATCAGGAATCATATAAAGTAAATTATTCAAAGCAATTCATTCGATTAAATACCTATAGAAAGCAATTTACGGAATTGTGTGGTTGCCTCCAACTGCAGAGTTCTATCATCCGAATAAACACCCGACACCATAGCCGGAAGGCTTTCTAACTGCAAAGTAGCAGAGAGCACATTTAAAGATGAAAGAAAAACAAGGGCAATTATCATGATCTCCAAATACAAATATCCAAAATCCAAAAACCTATCACACACTGGATTTATAAAAAAATAAATCATCATTTCAAATTTCATAATTTGCAAAAGACTTGTTTATTATTTTGAATTCAAAATCCCTATCTTTACAACACTAAATATTTTTAACTAAAAAAAAGATCACATCTTCTTGGTAGGGCCACAAGTGACGAAAAATTCTTTCATCCAAACCTCAGATCTATTACAAATTAGTAGGTTACTCTAAAAGCAAATATAGGATAAAAACATAACAGTAATTATATATGCTGGTAGTAACCTCTAAAAAAATCATTAAAAAATTTCTAATACTCATGATACACATATCAACAGTTTAATATGAAATAACAATATATCAATTTATTATGAAACTCATGTATTAGATAAATAATAATAATTCTTATGTAGTAAACAAAGTCACGCATCAATCACATGCAACACATCACGATGACATGCATACTAATCATGCAACAAACACGTATATCACACTCAATTGTGCACTCTCCTAACAACGAACGGAGAAGCATACTTCACAAGATGGATTCCTCCCAACAACGAATGAAGAGAACCTACATTACACTCCCAACAATAAATGGAGTGGTCTCTCTCACCTGTCCAAGTAGAGACACATTCCTCCCAACAACGGATGGAGGAACCATCTAGCAGCCATATTTGAGGACTTGCTAATCCCCGAATGAAATTTCCCTAGCTACCCTCGGCAGAGATACATAATCATCCATGATCATTCATGCATTCAAAGAAGTGAAATGATAAAATATCATGAAAGACAATGCTTCGTGTATGACTGACTAGACTATATCCATTGGTGGCTTCACACTTAATATCATTCAAAGAGGGTGCACTTCCAATGTGGATCACTCAGCATAATCATATAATCACAAGGTAGCAGTCACATTAATATCAACTAAATCATAAAAGCATGAGGTATCAATTTTTTAACAACCTTCAAATGATCTAAACCCTAAATAGCACAGCCTAATTAACTTGAATCAAACTTAATTCAATTAGGACCTAACAAAACTAGTCTTAAATCCTTATTGAATCAATCTAGAATCACCGTCGACCGGTTTAATTTGGATTTGGTTAGTTTCAATTAGGTCAAGTGGATTTGAACCGATCAAATTGGTCTGAAATTACCCTGAATTGGCTTGAACCAATCAATTTGATCTAGTTCAATCATCTAAGGAGCTCAAACCAATAAAAGCAGAGGAAGTTGGACTAGACTGCACAGTGTTAACTCAGATTGAACCGACCCACCTGAGCCCTGGAATGGTCACGTGCACTGCACATGCCTATCTCAGATAGCAGGCTGGGTTGAAGTGCAGGGCGCTGGATAGAGAGGCAACAACATACCTTGCAGTGGTCGCATAGTTGGGCCTTACAAGTTGGGTCAAGCCTCACTCACGGGTTAGACCAAGCCTTACTATTGAACCAAGTTATGCATGACTTGCAGGCTGGGTCATACCTAGCAACATGAGTTGGGTCATGCCTGATCACATGAACTGGATCATGCCTGATCACATGAGCTAAATCGTACTTGGCCATATGGTTTGGACCATGCCTAGCCACATGGGCTCAGTCATGCTTGGCCACATAGACTAAACCATATTTGGTCACATAAGCTAGGTCATGCCTAGCTACATGAATTGGATTGTACCTGGCCACATGGGTTGGATCGTGCCCGACCATATGAGTTGGATTATTCTTGGCCATAAGGACTGAGTCGTACCTGACCACATGGGTTGATCAAGCCGATCAACTTGACTCAGGTCAAACCCAAGTTTTTATTACCATAATAAGTATTTCATTAAAAAATTCAATAATACAATATTGATTCATTAAATAACTTTCTAAATCTATTTTTCATGAATCAAACAATATAATAAATTCATGATTTTAAATTTAAAAATAATTAAACATAAAATCTTACATAATTCCTTAAAATAAAGATATGCCTATATATATCAATTAAAATTATTATTTAATTCAAAAATAAGAATTTAATAATTAAATATATCTTAAAATTCATTTAAGCTTAAGAGACCATTATAAGTCAAGCATTATCAACATTAAATTAAATAACAACTTTAACATTACAATTAAATGATTATTATTTATTAATCATAAATTTTCGAAATTAAAATATTATTATGTTTCATAAAAATTATAATAATTATAAAATGAATAAAACCAATAAGAAAAAACAAAGAATCTTACCACTCCTCGAGAGATCTCTTCAATCCTCCCATTGCCCGACACGAATGGAGAGAGGGGAGATTATTTCCTCGATCCTCTCACTACCAAGCTCAATTAGGAATGAGAAAGATAAGAGTCCCTTTTTATAAGAGATGCTGAGCCCTCCCTAAAAGACAATATCTAATTTAATTTTCATATTTAATTTATTTTTTATTTTATTTAATTGCAATATTTATTTCATACGGTTCGTATCGAAAGAATTACTTCCTAAAAGTCACATCTAGAAAATACATCAATTAATAATTTTAAAATTATTTAATTAATTAATTGATGGACTAAATTCTTAACTTGCCCACTATAATCAATTTTAATCATTTCTTTAACCCTATAGTACAAACAAGTCAATTGATCATTAAATAAGGCAACACATTAATTATAGTTATTTAATTATGGGAAAATATTCAGCCATTACAAAACCTAACCGAGCGGATCCAATTTCCTAGAACACCTACACTAATCCGATCTACCAATCGAACCCCTAAATTGAAGGATCGACGAGAGGGGGATCACCTTCTTCTCGACGGCGGAGGCGTGGATCGGCTGCGGAAATGGCTGCGCCTGCATCCCCTCTCGCCGCTTCTTCTGGAGGCTTTCCTCCCGACGGTTCTTGCGGATCTCCACCATGTTGTCCTCTCTCCGCCGTCGTCCCTCCTCCGCATCGACGGCGACCTTGTACCTGTTTCGCCGGACCTCCACCCGCTCGCTCGGCCTCAGAGACATCTCTGCCCGCCGCAGGCACCGACTCCAACGACAATAATGAAAGCAGGAAGGGATCGGATGGAGCCCTAGAAAGTGAAGATTACGCAGTTCAGGTGAAATCGAGTGACCAATAGGAGAGAGGGAAGGAGTCGTCAAAGCGAGTACATTTATAGGAGCGAAGGATGACGAGACCGGGGACTACGGCACGCCAACTCCAACGGAAGATTGGCGTAGACTATGCTTCTAGATCTGTGCAATATACCTGTTGGACGGCCAGAGTTTCTTTTCTCGGTGCCGAAAACCGAACCCTAGCGGCCAAGTTGGTTCCAGTTCAACACAGCTCAATTCCGTCGCCACCCGTTTCTGCACTCAGTCTCCGCCCGACGCGAACCCCGCTAGGCCTCCGACACAGGCCCCACTAGGCCTCCGACACAAGCAAGGTGGTTGACCGGCCGAGTGACGTTAGGATGAGTTGCCTTCCGAAGCAGGCCCGAAGAGTAAGAACAGCGTCATACAAACCCTTTCATAGCTTCTTGTGATTGGACCGCCGACGCGGACCCATGTGACCATCGCTCACTCGACTCGCAAAGCTGGCAGGTGCCACGCGTAACACCCGATCGAGGATGGCACTTTCGACGTCAATAAATGTGGTCCGATGAGCTGACGGCTTAGGTGCCGTCATAAGTGGTATAGTATCACGCCAATTATTTTGGTGTATGGTAGTTAAATTGGTTTACGGAGCAGGGGACCATGTACCGACGCGAGTTCTCCCGGTCGTGGGTGGAAAATGATCAAATATCAACCGTTGGATATCTGTACTATACAATGGGTACGAACCTGTTACGGTAATCGAGTGCCGTCTTCTTCTCCCAAATTCTAATAATACTAATATTCAAACATAAACCAGTATTTATTTTTTATTTAATTTTATATTAAATTGATTAAAAATATGAAATATATCAGAATTAATACTTAAAATATGACAGCCTGATCAACACGAGGAGCATCCAATGCATCATTCATAGATAAAGACATCAGAGACATCTAATTCATTATTCGTGGACGAACGATGTATTATATGTTTTTTTGTGAATAAAAGTATCAAAAGTATTTTTGTAAGAAAATCAATGAATAACACCATGTAGCATAAGAACATAAACCAATAATTGATCAAGGAATCAATCATCATCTCCTTATACCACTCAATGTGACCATCACAACTACTTTACAGCAAATCGGTTAATGGCTATAATGAATCGATTATTATTTTCTTTATTGTCTAATGTGGATGCTTTGATACCGCTATATTGGGTCAATCACATCCACTCTTTGTCGTCTAAAGAGGATGGATGAGCTACTCTGTCGATGTACTCTACCACCTAACGTAAACTCCTCAATAATATTTATGCTAGTTGATGTTATCTCATCCATTAGCAATGCATTTGCCCTAGGCTAAGCATCAAAAGGCACATAATATGCCCATCACATAATTTCTCCCTTTGCGAGAAATCCTGGAATACATCTTTTGGGAGAGAGTGGGATGACAAATGATATGAGAAACATTCATCCCGATTATAACTCAAACAATTAATAATTCAATCATCATAAGGATGACATGAGACAAAATACCAAGAGAATATTTCACCTATATCTTAAAATATTTCATCGAGTTAGACTCACTACAGAAGGCCATTCGGTAATGATAATCAATGTTAGCTATTATTTATTATTATTATTTTCATTCTATCATTGACTTAAGCATCGGATGGATCATGTTGAGAGACTTATCGGACCTTATTCTTCAACTATCAAACGAACATATATGCTCTTCTCAATTTATGAGTAAGCATTCAAGTCCTCCTTAGCTACACTAGACTTGTCGCTCACACGGGCTAAACCTAGTGGAGTTGATCCAAGCATCATCGTTGTTATTCACATCATATCACAACTCGATTTAATAGACATACAGTCAATTTTTTTAATTAAAAATTTAAAATTTTGAAGGTACATTTATATACATATATAATACAAAGTTAATATTTGTAAGATCATAATATTACATTTTGTTAAGTATTTTAACATCATGAATTTATCTATTAGTTATTTTTTATTGCCAACTTGATGTATTTAAATTGATTTTACTTATCTCATCTTTTAAAATAATGTTACGTTCATGAGTGGACGAGAGGTCTATGATCTACCCAAACCCTAAGGGGTGTGATCCAAAAGTCAACTAATTTTTTTTTAAGCTAACTCGATAAAAAAAATCAATTGATGGTTAAAAAATTCAAAGAAGTTTATATTATATACGACAACAACGATAAAACTATAAGTCTCAACTATTTAAGGGTGAATATATAGATCTTTAGTTATAATTGAAATTTATAAAAAAAATTATATATTTAATTAAGCTTAGTTTACTTAAATCTATATTTATAATTTATATTAATATATTCTTCTATCTCTCTTCATATCAGTAACATGAATCATTTCACAACTTCATCAAGGTTTTCTATACAAATGTTTATATAATTTTAAATAATTTTCTCTCATCTTCTATCCATGTAATACTTAATTCATATATAAAAAAAATATTTTTTCTATCTTTAGTAGTAGTTTCACATATCAATATCAAAATTCTCAACAATTATCTCATAATTTACTCAAAAAATTACAGATAAATTCGGAAAAAAAGAATAGCTTTCGGAGCTTAAGTCTTATTTGGGTAAATCATCACTTCAAGGTTGCTTTTTTGTTTATTTTTCGGGCATCCGAGGAAAGCCACTCGCATTCCGCAGTATAGGAAGGTCACAGCCGTTCATTCCATATCGGGCGGTAAAAAATCGACATCTTCGTCAAATTTGGTGTCTTTGAAAGAAAATTAAAAATAGAAATAACCCGAGCAGAACACCGCACCGCGGAAGACGCCCAAACCTCGGGTATAAATAGCGCGTCTCTGCGTCGGTCCAAACCCCGCCTTCCCCTCTCTCGCCGCCGCTCTCCTCGCTAGGTTTGATCTCGGGTGGAACTATGTTGCTTTATCAGGATTTGCTCACTGGTATGAATAAAGATTATCATCTCTTTTTTCATCAAGTATTTGAACTCCCGATGCCGTTCGTTGTGGCGGAATCGGAGCGCACAGTGAAACTAATTCGTAGATCCGAAGAAAACTTTGGATCTTGGGAATCACGACCTCATAATTGAAGCTGCATTCTTAACTTGCTCTTCTTGTCTTCCTCCTGATTTGATTCCCGCATCTTCGATAGTATTATGCGTGTTGTTTCGCTTATATTTGTAGTGTGGTTAATTATCTTCGGGTGTTACTGGTTTAGGGTGGGGATAGTCGCTTTCGTTCTGTTGAATGACAAGACCCATTTTCTTATGCTATACTCGTTATTAAATTACTTCTTCATCTGTTTATTCTGTTTGTGCTTGTGTTTTGGATCACTCTTAGATTATTGTTGTTATCCGGGCACTGCAGAACTTTGATCACATTAAGCAATTGAATTATATTTCAAGAATACTGCAAACCGGCATCAGAGCTTATTGTTGATCAACTATTGTGGTCCTTGAGTCGATTTTGAGTATGGATGGGAGAATGGGCTGAGTGTCTTGGAAGTCGAAGTTGGTGTCATGGTTTACAGAATGATATTTGTATGTCAATATCAGATTTGTATCATATTGGTCTTCAACTTATGCTGTCATTGGGTGATTGTTTGGAGCTTATGCTGTTATCTGTAGGTGTTTACGCACTTTTTTTATTAGCTATGAGTGCTCTGGTTCGTGTATGTTTGTGCTCCATGAATCATAAAACATAAAAATGATGTACAGTAACTGGCCCGGTAAATTTTGTTTGGATCGGAATCTCTATGCCTTGTCGATGTCGGTTATGCTTGTCTTTGTCCATTACCTGAACGGAGAAGGCCAGGACATTGTCATATTAAATCTAGGACGTTGTCCATTATCTCAGTCATCATTGAATGGCTTTTGGTTCTTGATCTTCATCAAATCAGAGATAGAAGCAGTCAGATATATTTGAAAAAAACATTTTATTTCATTTGAAGAGCTTGAGTATTGGAAGTTGGTAAATATAATGACTACTGGGTGAATCAGATATCACTTTATGCTTTTGATTGAATCTGATCCCATCGAGGGAATTTGTATATGATCGAGGTGGGTTATTCCATGTTTTAGATTCTGAGTTTTTACATGATTTATGTAAACGTGCAAACAAAGAGTAGTCGATCTAACTTCAATTCCACTGTTCCAATTTCAATGACGAACTAAATTTTATCTGAGATTTGAATGACCAATTCCTTGTACATTTCTGTGTCATGATCACAGGAATGTGAATATGATCTTAGATGGGTGGAATTTTGATACACTTTTTGAAATAATTAGGAATGCAAATCGAAGCACCATTATAAATGATCAAGGTATCAAATCCTTCTTGTTTGGAGAATTGGTATTCCACCTAGGCCTTAATGAAATAAAATTCATGACAGAAGCTAATCTGTGGTTTATTTCTCATAAATTATATGGAACTAAGTGGATTCCTCGGAAGTTGGAGAATATAACTTTTCAATCCCTTTTATCACACTAGATTTCATTGGTATAGGTGCTCCTTGTTAGGTTCCACTGTTATGTCTCATAATGTTGCACTGATGTACTTGCTACATGCTATATTTTCACAAAAGATATATTAAGACTGAAAAAGGAAAGTTACAGAACCACTTTAAAAAATTGATTATTGTAACATATCTATAACATACAGGCCTTTAGGACTTGCAAGGGTACTGTGGTGTTTATGTGGCGGTCGGAATGGTGTACAATATGCTCAAGTTCCATTGTAATGTATACTATAGTTTTCAGAATATCTCCAATTTTGCTTTTGAGAAGCTTGTGACATTTTGTTTTTCTGAACCTTGGAGATTGGCTAAACAGATTATGGCACTTTTTTGTTCATTTCATATGACAATATCTAATATTCGTAATTAGTAAATTGTTCCTTGAAAGAAAGTCTGTCACTTTCACTTCTTGGTTGATTCTATGATGACTTTATCTATGCTTGTTGTCGATAGAGAGAAGCTTTATTTATTTATTTATTTTTGTTTTTGAAAGTTGCCGACGATGCTTTAAAACTTGTAAATTTGTCTTTTGTGTTTTTACAGATGATGAGCTATTGTCAGACTCATTCTGTTACAAGGAAATTGAAAATGGGATGTTGTGGGAAGTTGAAGGGAAGGTAAGGATATGGTTTTACTCTATGTTGTTATCAATTGAATATTAAACTTGTATGTATTTTTCTTATGCCTTTCTTTATATGTTACTTTTATAATACTGTTGATGTATGCCCTTTGTTTTTGGTACACCATCTACTCTCTCTGCTGCTTTCTTTTGTACTAATCTATGACACCATATCAAGATGGGTAATTGTTGTGCATAAATTTGCATATATGTTACCTCAATGCCACCCAAATTTCTTGACATTTGGCAGTGGGTGGTTAAAGGAGCTATTGATGTAGACATTGGTGCAAACCCTTCTGCAGAAGGTGGAGAAGATGAAGGGGTTGATGATTCTGCTATTAAGGTGGTTGATATAGTCGACACGTTCAGGCTCCAGGTCAACATTTTTTAATGTCTTTCATGTGGTTCGTTAGATCTATTTAGATATTTTTGGACTTTATTTAGTATGAAAGTGGCCTCATATCATTTTCAGGAACAACCAGCTTTTGACAAGAAACAATTTGTGACCTATATGAAACGTTATATCAAGTTATTGACACCGAAACTTGATGAAGAGAAGCAAGAACTGTTCAAAAAACATATCGAGGGAGCTACAAAGTTCTTACTTTCAAAGCTCAAAGACCTACAATTGTAAGGATCTTTTTTTTTTTTAATATTTTATGTTAGTTTACTTTTTTCTTTCATTTATTTGTCAAAGAATAAAATTGTTAAAAACCATCACAATCTTTGTTACATTTTTTCCTTGCATATCATTGTTGTTGTTTTCATCAAACTCTTACTCTTTGTAGCATAACTTTGTTCATTCTTTTGCCTTTTGGCACATAATACTAGTATAAATTACTGCACTTTGTCACTTTTTATTAAGACATCAGACTTTATATTTTTAAATCGAATGACAGTTCTGAAGGTAGGTTGTGATTCTTTTAGAATCTCTTTCTTTCTGACAAATATCTTTTGGCAGTTTTGTGGGTGAAAGTATGCACGATGATGGCAGCGTGGTGTTTGCATATTATAAGGATGGTGCGACTGATCCGACATTTTTATACTTTGCCTATGGATTGAAGGAGGTCAAATGCTGAATGTCATGCTGCATGTACTTTGGATGGTCAAGCTTTCTTAAATATTGTTTTGGATATGCTTTCAAGGAATTCAGGAGTTATTTTAGGTTTGGAGTCAAGAAAACAGAACAAGTATTCAGTTTTGATTTTTCATGGGTTGTGCCACCACCAATTATTGAATTAATTAAGTTTCTACTCTCTGGTTTGCTATCAGAAAATTTGCAAGGAGGTGAGCCAAAATCACTTCGGTAAGCAAACATGTTTACAGATTCAAGAAATAGTAAGCATTTGTGGTATTTGATTGTACTTACCATAAGCTATATGTTTATACATGTATATATAGTCCTTACACCTACAAAAAAATATCAGTAATAAGTCTATGTTTGCGACTTCTTGCCGAGAAGCCAAGTCACAACAGGGAAAGGATTGTTTACTGTATATGTTGTAGTCTTTCCACTATAAACTCAAAGCTTTAAAGATTTGTTTGTTTCCAGTTGATTTATTTGAATCCGAAAAGGGCAACAAGAATTGTTACCATTTCAGTCACAAGTTGATTATTCTTTTCTTGTGCATTTTGTTTCGATGTAGATGGAGGATCTACCTTGTTATAGTTTTGCTTCAAGGATTCAACATAAAGATTACCTAGAATGATATATGAAAGTGTATAGGGTTTATAGAGATATAAATGCTAAATACAAAATCTCTTAATTGTGGCTAAAATTAAATACTCAAGCATTAACTAAATTAAAATTATATATATATATATATATATATATATATTCAAATATTAAGATTTTTGGCAGCATATATATATCCTTTCAAGATTGGTTCAACGCGGCACATTGAAGTAGTTGGCATCAACTGACTTCGGTTGAAAGATAAAAGTAGTAGTTTTAATATCTAAATTGTAAATTAATTATTAATGCCAATACAGTGAAGCAACAACTATTATGGAGAATCTTCGAATAATAGCAAAACAAGATTGAATCCAATGCATAACTTTCGAATAGTACTCTAAAATAATCGTAGACATTTTTGTTAACAAATCCTCTGTTTCGTGAAGCGTTGTTGTTTATGCTTTTAAACATATTAGCCTTTTATTTATTTATTATATCAAATGACGTACATAACTCATCACTTATATAATAATATACTAATCTTTTAATAAAAAATATTTTTTATTCGTTAAACTCTGACAGATAGTTAACAGTATTATAAACAATCCACAGTTTCTTTTTCTTGGAAAAAGAATATTTCCTTTTTACCCTGAAGAGGCCCCCATTTTGAGTATTTACTGTAGGGGTTTAATGTTATCACCAAAGCAGTATGTTCTGTTTTCCCACCTCTTTTATTTCTTTTATTTTTCATCTTTCTTTGATTCAACAAATTTAAAACCGGTTAAAAAAAATCAACGAATTATGAACAAAAACATAGTTCGGGTCGGATTCTGTCGTGAACAGACCCGACCCAGCCGCTTTAACTCCTCGGTATTCGCCAATCTCCGTCGCATCTCTCTTAAACCCCTCTTTGTTCTCCCACGAGCGAGCCAGGAAGCGGCAGAGGGGCGGGAGATCGAGTCCGGTCGCGAGGGAGGAAGAAACCCTAACCCTTCTCCTCCAGGAACACCATCCTCTGCTTTTGATCTGCTTTGAAGGGATGCCGCGCGAGATCATAACCATTCAGGTGGGGCAATGCGGCAACCAGATCGGCATGGAGTTCTGGAAGCAGCTCTGCCTCGAGCACGGCATCGGCAAGGACGGCCTCCTCGAAGATTTCGCCACTCAGGCTCGTCCGATCCCTACTTCCCTCTCCGCCCTCTCTGGATCCGGTTTGGCTTTGTCTGTCCGTTAGCATATATCCGTATCGAATGCCGAAGATTTGATAGTTACACCTAGTCATCGGTTCCCATTTTGATTCGGAATGAATTCATCTCGGGTGTCCGAGATTGGATTTTTTTCACCTGAAAGCAGTTTTTTTACCCAGATACTTGTCTTGCCTTGCCAGTTCCAACGAGATGCGTGTTGTCTCCGTAGCAAGATTGCTGCAGTATACTCTAGGACAACCAGTTTAAGCTGAATTTTCACGGGAGAGGATGTGATTTAAGCGGCTTAGGTGGTTATAAAACATATATGATTTTGTGGATCGTTTCTAAATTATTATACATTTTAACATTAAGAGCGTAGTTAAGTAATTTCTTAATGCAATGAGGAGGAGTTGGCAGAAGTTGTGCATCAGTCTTCTTGGGACAATCGGTTTTTTGTACCTTATCACTTGTTATCAGGTTCCTTTTACTCCTATGTGACTTCCCTTGGGATCATGAAACATGAAAAAAGACTTATACGGTCTTGTAATTTGACTTTATGGAAAAAGTGATTACCATAGTAGTGACTGAGCCTTGGTGTCCATTTGATGTTAGGTTTGACAATCATCCATCACAATTACTTAATATCCTGCTACAAATGTAAAAACAGATAAGCTTTATGTTTTTTTCAAAGTCTTTGTGGCTCCTATGTTTTCTTCTATATGGTTCCTTCTATGAGCAACTGAAGTTATCGACAAAAGATTTCCGTTCTTCTTTGGATCATCCTGCTTACTTAGTTTCTATTAAAAATCTTGCTGTAGATAAGTTTGTAACCTATTGATGTTATACCATATGGAGTTTCTCCACTCTGATGGCTGGAGACAATGGCATGATGGGACAAAAATGTGAAACACCATGATGATAGAGCACTATGCAGATAAATTTTGGAGTTCAGGGTTTATGTGATACTAAAACATAAAAAATATTTATTTACTTGCTGCAGGGTGGTGACAGGAAGGATGTCTTCTTCTATCAAGCAGATGATCAACACTACATACCAAGAGCTCTTCTAATGGATCTAGAACCAAGGGTTATTAATGGCATACAAAATAGTGAATACAGAAACCTTTACAATCATGAAAACATTTTTGTCTCAGATCATGGAGGTGGTGCCGGAAACAACTGGGCTAGTGGATATCACCAGGTATGACATGACATTGGTGAATCCTATCAGATTCTTCCTCTTCTTTTTGTGATTTAGTTTAGATGACCATGTAATTTCCAGTTTCTGGTATACACTAATTCAGTATTTGATCATTTTGTATAATTCAATTGCACCTTTCTGTTTAAGGGAACCATGCTAAATATAGACTGAATTTTCTGCATATTATTTTTGAAATATTTTGCTAACTTGTACACATTGCTAAACTTACTAGAATGATAGTCCTCCTGGATATTTTTCTTGTGAAATTCAAAGTTGCACACCTTATTTCCTGTTTGCACATAATACTACTGACTAGAAACAACAATTTCGAAAACATACCCAACGAGATGAACTCTGAAAGAAAAACTAGAGGTGCCGTATTGCAGGTTGGAATTTTGGAACATGAATTGGAAATCCATGATTCTGTGTCCTTTGAAGTTTGAAGTTTGAACTGCTGAATAAGCTTTATTAGTTAAGCCATGATTGTGTTTCCTGTCTGCATAAATTCTTAAACATAGAGTGAGGTGTCATTCCTCTTGACATGCACCTGCAATTAAGAACAAGAGAGAACCAAATATTTGGTAACTTCTGATTACCATTTCCTGACACCCGTTGTTGTTTCATTTGTGATGATTTCTTGTGTCCAGCAATTTAATCTGAATTTACCAGATAATGGAAAAATGTTTTCATTTACCACATAATGCATATTTAATTGGAATGTCAGTCAAGCATTAGTTCGGCACTGTGTTTTAGCTTGTTGGATTTTTGCTATATGGACAATTAATTCAAGGAAAAATCCATGTGATGATGATGGAAATAGACAAGTTCGTTAGTGTTGTTCAGTTTTCACAAACCAAATAGAACTCTTCTATGTCAGTCCCATCTGTTACTCCATAATTGTGTTCAGAATAGTCATCTTGTTTGTCTTATGACTGAACTTTGAGGTCGTTACATAAATGCACTTTGGTAGAAAGAAAATCAATAACTTAATTGCAAACAACGTGCAATTTCATTTCACTCTTTGTTGCAAAGTTCGTCACGATGATAACTTTAGATGTTATAATGCTTTATCATGGAGTATTAAAGTTTTCAATGCTCTGTTAGGTGAATTGAAGTTTTCTGGCTCTTAACCAATTGTTTTTTACAAAAAAAATATGATAAACTTGTTTATTTGGTACACTTATCAAATGACTTTCGGTGTTGGTGTGTAGCCTAATATGGACAGTGGTGAGTGCAGGCACTGTAGATGCTACTTTTGACCTTTTATTGCATATAATAAATGATATAAAAAGTAAGTTGTAAGGATCCATGCATTTAGACATGTTAATGATAAAGCTGTTAGCTTTTGCAAAGCAGTTTTAACTGTCAAACATAGCGGTTGCAAGGATTGATTATTCAGTTGGAAGTGTAAATCCATACAAGAAGAATTTCTTGCAACTTTAGTTTTTATCATATAACATACTTCGGCCAAGCTGCATTCTGTGGTCATTAATAATCATTTTTTTTGTTAGATACCTTGATTTTAGAAGTTGAAATATAACCTGTTTATTCACAAGAATTTTGCAATGAAGGACTTCATATTTTAGCAAATTTTTTATCACAGTTTTCTTGTTCCATTTCTTTTTCTTTAGTGATTTAGAGATTAGAACATCTTTTTGTTGATAGAAGCATGCTAAGGCTGACGGCAATGCATTAGATATTGGATATCTTCACAATACATTGTCAGGTCGTAGTTATTCGATGATTGCCTTGTTGATTCTAATGAGGTTTATCTATCTAGTTTTCTTTAATTCTTCTTCAGTGAGTAATTTCTACTGAAAATAGACATACAGGCATCACACTTCAATTTTATCAGCATGTTTAGAAAATGTGATCTTTTCTGTTGTCATACTTGTTCTTTAACCACATTTTAAATGTTGGTGTGCCCTAATGTTGATTTCCTGTAACACAATTAAAACCTAGGGAGAGCAAGTTGTAGATGATATCATGGACATGGTTGACCGAGAAGCAGATGGAAGTGATAGCCTTGAAGGTTTTGTTCTATGCCACTCGATTGCTGGTGGAACCGGATCAGGTGCTGGACTTTTCCCTCTCTCTTATTTGTAATATCTGAAAATGTTCATCTTACATTCTCATATGACTTTCGACACCTTTCTCATCTAGGTAATTATAGCGCATCCCTTTTGTCCATTC